TTAAATTTTTCTTGTACCCTTCTTTCAACAAGTACTCTCTCGGGTGATTATACCACATGCGCCCTGATTGTTTTAATCTGTATAAGGATTATTGAAGCTTTATTTAATAAATTCTTGGAAACCTTAATATGCTTTAGAACAATCTAAATCCTTCAATGATTTCCATTATATTCATATCAAGTTTTTATGTATTGCTAGATTAAAACCTGAAATGCCAGGATATTTACAAATCTTCTTGTGACACAAGTCGTCTTTATGTCTATCGACTTGTCTTTCTTCGCACAAGAACACATTTATACCTCCACTGGCTTTATACTTTTAGGTGTTTGGACTATCCGTCTATCTTCACATTTTTCAGGTGAAATCAATCTTGATTGCGTATTTTTTTATTTTATTTTGGCCAATCATTTATTTGTCTAAATTTCAGGATAGATTTGAGCTCAAGATCCTCGTCAATATTAATAATATTGAGTGCTACATTATATTAACAATATTGTCGACGATCACTTTACGTCGGTTCCATTATTACCTAATAAAGACATAACTTATTGAGATCCCTTTATCTCATTATTTTCAGGTACCTGAGCCTCTCCCATGTGGTCTTATGAAATGTTATGTCGTGGTGCTCTTCTAGTGCACTTGCCTCTTTACTATGAACATTTTAAATATTTTCCCCTCTCCTTCTTCAAGGAGTTTTATCTTTGGAACCGATTGGTCTGTTACGCTTCATGTGTGCCATAGACTCTGTCCCTCATGGATTTTATTCTATTTAGAGCATTAGCAGATTTAGCTTTGGGTCAGCAAATGCGTCTGGCAATAATTTGTAAATGAATTATCACTTGAACTTCAAGTTCTTATTTTCTTGTACGAGGATCTATATGTATTCATAATAATTCATTTCACGTATCACTTTCTCAGCTGCCCATTTTGTCCCCCTAATGTTGGGATTACCAACACATTTCCCAACCTTCTTTGGGAACTCATCTTTGTGCATTTTGGTGACATAATTAAATCATATAGCACATCCATATTTATATATAGAAATTATTTGGTTCCTGACTCTGAACCGATTGCGATAGGGAGAAATTTTTATAACTTGGCTAGATGAGTACAAGTGTTGTTGTATAGTAAATAATATATCTCATACCAAATTTTGTTTTTGGGAGATTTGTTCTCATAACCAATAATTTAGTTATAATTGGAGGTATACAATTTCTGTTAAACCAACTTGGATTTAAACCAGTATTATTAAGATAAATCATCATAATTTATATTCTGGAACTGTGCTCTAATAACTTGAGCAAGCAATCTTGCAAAAGCCAAACTGCAAGTTGATAACAAATGCACATGTGACCATAGAATAGATGCATCTATTAAAATCATATAATAGTAAACGGTCCACATGGCAGGTGATTGGGCCCATATATTTATCACCTTTTATTTGTTCCAGAAATCAAGGGATTCAATCCCAACCATAACTGGTATATCATGAGAATAAGTAGCACAAGATAATTCTTGAAGAATCTTCTATTCTTCAATATATGCCAATGTAATTCTCAATTAATTTTTCGCATCATAATTGAACTAGGATGGTCAACCGGTTATGCCAACTATTATTTGTTTTAGTAAACCTCTAGTTTACTTGTGGCATATGATTCTATTATTATGCTTATATTTGTGTAGTACAAAAAGAAAGAATATAGGGTAACCTTTCATATTTACCCGGTGTGATTATAGAAATATGAAGATATTCAATCTTCCTTTCATTTATAGTCTCAACATGCCAACCACTATGACTTATACATTTGAAACTCAAAAAGTTTCTTTTGAGACTTTACAATATCAATGTCAGGAATAATTTATTCATCCGGATAGTAACAAATTAGTTTTTTCGGAGCTCTTAATAACTTTTGTACTACAAGATCTTTTATCATACCATTCATATGGTAAATGTCTCCTTCACGGAGAAACTTATATCATAATAAATTGTCATGGTCAAAATTATCATAAGCAAAATTATTTCTTGCTTTAATTTTGCCTTTAATAACTTTTATAAGGCATGACAAAATAATAACTGGCGTATCACATGTACGTGACCAATGACATATTCAGGTAACCACACAATAATATTTATTCTCTTTATTTCACTCAAACCTCCTTTAGAGGTGAGTTGTGTGGTATTCATATAATCATGAATTGCATGTCTTTATTCATTGCTTTTATCACATATTGCCACATTCAACTTTAGGAATGAGTTTACATTCTCAATGCTTATCACAAGTCACATTCTCTTCAAGGAATGGATCATAATCAGCGACGTGCTTTATTATTTTCATACCAATTTGATTGTAAACATTGCCTTCACATTTTGAAGGACTATTTTGAGAGCCCTTATTGTTCTCCTTTTATAATCATAGTGATGATTATTATTATTTTGATCTTTGAAATGCCTACGTTCGTTGTTCAACCACTTTTCTTCATTTAAACTTATTATGCACTGCCACCACATTCACTTCAAGAATGGAGCAAATCAAGTGGGACAATCTTCATGCCTTTAATGAAAAATATATTATTTTTCTTTACTCATTATATATCATTAATATGGTATAGTGGAACTCAAACCCAATGTCTTACCCATATAATTTTATGTAGCCACAAATAAGTAAATAGAAATGATAAGAACTATTATCAACAAAACTATGATGGAGTACAAACTCGTGCACTAGTATCTTACATATAAACATTTCAAAGCAGAAAGTTACCATGTAGCGTTATTACTATATGATATGTTACTGCAAACTAATGCATGTTGATTACATAAAACGTACACAAGAATTGAAACACATAACTAAATATACAATTTCAGAAAGCAAATAATCATGAGTAATAATTATTGGTAGCATATTCGGTTAACAGAAGATGTCAAAATAGACTAGTAAAACATAATGATATCACTTTGCCAACTATCAACATAAAAAAAATATGTTGCATCTAATTAGATTAGTATGGATCATAATATAATTGACATTATTTTTCCTGTGCCTAAAGCAGAAGATTAACGAAAAACATTGCCTTTACCAAAATAAAAACCTAAGTATACAGTTTTTCACTCGCAAAATTCTTTCTTTCTCAAAGAAGCAATAGAATCACATCACGAAGCCAAACAAAATCGGAATAAAATCTCAACATAATATTACTAACATATTAAAATCCTTGAAGTAATATGGCCATTCCTCCAACATGATCATGTGATATAATTATTACGAGTAAGAAAATCACCTTTTCCAGATTAACAGTGTTTAGCTCTAACATGCTTGAAATTTAGTTTTATGGGACCTCTAGGATATAGTAATAATTATTATCTACCTAATATACATGTCTAACTTTTGTAGTAATTATGTTATAATTTATAGAACCACTAAAAGGCTATTTAACGGACCAAATATTAGCATCTGATGGTCCTACCTTATTTCATCCGCTCCAAACTAGCATATAACTCCTTTTCATTTTCATGGAGAGATATGGAAAGACCAACGAAATTTTGCTGCAACACTTCAACTTTTATGCCTAATTTTGTGGCTTACTTTGAAGTTGAAGATGACCAAAACATTAGTGAAAAACATAATTTGACTAAAATAGACAATATAAGCAAACTATCAACATGACATATGAAATGCCGTAGGTATGATGATATAAATGAAATATTAGAGACTCGTGCTGATAACGTATTATGAAATATAACTCAAAGTAACAATATGAAACAAAGAAATAAAAATAATTTAGTAAAACATGAACAAGAAATGGAGATAGAGAGAAGGAAGAGATTTTCTTCTTCAATTGTGTGTATTTTCCTATCTGTTACAAGGCCTTTATATAGGCATAAAAAGTGAAGAAAATATGTCATGGAATATGTCATTGAACATACAGAATATGTCATTGAATATGTCATTAAGCATTTGAGATGAAGATCATGGAAGAAGAGTAGACATCCACCATAATATGATATTTATCATAACAAGACATTTATTTTGATGGGATTATTTCTTATGGATATGTTATAGAAGGTAACCTTTTTTTTTTGTTTCTATTTCTGATATATTAGTTTTTGTGCTAAAGAATATATAATGTTTCTTTCAATGTAGTATAGTTATGTGAAACATTAAAGTAGTGTCCAATTGCCATATGTTAAAGGAATATGTTTGCAGTGTTCACTGGGTTATTTGTTTTATGAAGTGTGATTTTTGTTATGTTTTTTTTTCTTAAAAATAAAAAAGAAAGGTCTAGCGGGTCGGGTCATGGACGGGTTCCGTTTGATTTTAGTGGACACTGTTAATTTTTTAAATAGTTGTGTGAAAAAAATATCAAATATCTCCTAAAAGTATAGAGTGACTTTTCAATTAGAAAAGGTAAGATTGAGTGACTTTTCAATTAGAAAAGGTAAGATTGAGTGACTTTTCGGTTATAAAACAAAGTCAAGTCACTTTCCAAACCAATTTCCATTAGTTCAGTAAACTTCAGATAAATCAACTCCATCATTAAAATGCACCACTCAAAATATTTTGCTATTCCTGACTTCTGGGGTTTACCAATGATTAGTACGTAGCAAAAGAGGGATTCCATGCATGTCAAGTTGGTATTGGGGAATAAAGTTTGGTGCTGGTTTTAATGCATAAGAATAAAAGATGATGACCATTAAATATGCGCCATTTTATAACTTCTATATCATAAATCGGAATGAGATGTCTTTCTTATCTTATAGAATCCTTCTAGTCTATTACTCCATATACGGTTAAAACCTTTCTATAATAGACTCGTTTGTTCAGATATTTTTTTTGGCTACTATAGTGAAATAATATTATAAAGGACATATAATATAACATAACATAATAATCAGTTCCGAGATAAACTCAACTTTTATAGTGAATGGTTATTATATAAGGATATTGTTATAGAGAGGAGTGATTGTAATATACATTCCTCTAGCCGTGATATGCCCAAAACTCCATAAATATAGCTAAGTTAAGATCACATTCTCACCAAGCAAAAACTCAAATATTCACATCTTTAGGATTATCATCAATATTCAAGATGGTTCTTCAAACTCAACTTGGGTTGAACAAGCACCAATCCTACGCTCACGAGCAAAACTACTGTTCCGACGGCAACCATGGCGGCTCTATGCAAATGACAAGGCCTTCGGGCTATTCCACCATGCCATATGGTCAGTCCACTCAAAATCACATGATGATGGGTCATGGTGGCCAACACCATGGCGGACACTATGGTAGTCATGGACGTCATGGGGCGCATATGCCCCATGACTCCACCAACTTTTCAAGCAGCACCAGTATGGTCCATAGTGATGGTGGCTATGGTAGTGGAATGCAGCAATCTGCCCATACCTCATCGACCATGAGCATGGGGTCGACGAATTATCATAGTCATGGTTATGGTGGCAGCCACCCTGGTCAGTACAGCCAGAGCCAGAAGTTCAACTGGGCTCTTAAGGATTTGGAGGAATAAATTTATGTTAAACTTGATGCTATCACATATATGGTGAAAGTATGTGTGTGTTTTGGTAGTAGCTTTGGCTATATATAGCGTAAAGAACTACTACCTAAATAAGCAATGTATTAAATAATCTACTGCTTTGCTTGATTATCTATGTATTTGTTTTATCATTTACTAAAATGATAAATAATAATTAGTATGTTTAAAACAAAAATGATTTGTGTGATTTAATTTACTTTAAAGAATCAACATTCCATTGGTTATTTCATGAGTGAAATACACCATGATCGTAATAGTATTTTAGTGTGTGTATATATAAAAGCTTAATTGTTGAAAGCGATAAGTGCAATTCCACCAAGAGTATTCAAACTTTAAAAAAGTCAACAATTTTTTTGTCGAAGAATGGTGTCTCAAATTTTTTAAATCAAACTACACAATATTTAGCTAAACAATAAAAAACTTTAATAGAACTATTGTTTTATAAATCAAAATTAAAATAACGAAAAGACAATACTAGAATTTTTACTGATAAAAATAAGCATAAAATCAAAGGAAAGAGAGAGTCGAGAGAATTTGTATATTATAGAGAGTTTTGTTGAAGAAATCTTTGTAGAGCTTGACTTTTAAATTAGTAAAATTTATTTGAGATTAGTTGTTTATTTCTACACAAATTTTATGTTTTAAGAGTTGTTTTATTAAAAATATTTAGATTAAAAAGGATCAAATATACCACATATGGTGGTGTCCGTTTAGTTTTAGTAAATAAAATGAGTAGAACTTTGACCGCAACACGTCATTTTGAACATTCTGAATTGCTGGTCTATCTCATTCACTCTTCTCTTACTTTCCCTACTTCTAGAAAAAAAATGTTGAACAAAAATGATCTTTCTAAAGTTAAGGCAGCAGATAGGTCGTGACACGACCCGGATTTCCCACCATCAGGAGTCGTGATGGCGCCTACTAATGTGAGCTAGGCAAACCAATTCTTAACTGCTACTTCATTAACAAATTAGTTCATTTAACAATTATCAGTGATAGCATGAAAACAACAGAATTAAATAAATAAGCGGAAGACCTAAATTAAATAAGCTAAACAATAATGCGAAAGTCAACATATGCCTCTACCCAAGAACTGGTGTCACATTACTCACGAACTACTAAGAGTACTAAATACAACCGTTTGAAAGAAATATAACACTATTTGTCTTGAATATATGAGATAACAGAATGAAATATAAGATAGAGGAGACGCCGGGCCTGCAGACGCCTGCAAGGCTACCTCGTTGTCTCGGTAGACTGAAGGCTGGCTCCCGCGCTACTGTTGCTGTCCAATACCTGGATCTGTGCAAAAGAGCACAAAGTGTAGTATCGGCAGAACCGACCCCATGTGCTGGCAAGTGCCTAGCCTAACCTCAGCGAAGTAGTGACGAGGCTAGGACCAGACTACCAAATAACCTGTGCAGTTCAAATATCTATATCTACAGCGGAAAAGAAATACAGGAAATAATCAGTCAATGTGGAAAAGGGAAACATGATGTGGGGGAGGTAACAGTTCCAAATAGAAAACCTCAATAAAAGAAAGAAACAACAAAGCCAGAATATCCAGAAGAATCAGAATTCAACGATTTGCACGACATCACCCTTCGTGCTTTTACTCTCGTTCTCACCAAATCAATCGTATCATAATAATGTGCACGGAATCACCCTTCGTGCTTTTACTCTCGTTCTCACCAAATCAATCGTATCATAATAATGTGCACGGAATCACCCTTCGTGCTTTTACTCTCTTTTCTCACCACATAGTCAATGAATATCGGTACGGAGTGGTACATCGTACGCACGACATCACCCTTCATGCTTTACACTCTTTCCTCACAATAGCAAACAATGCGGCATCACCCTTCGTGCTTTAACACTCTTCCTCTCCCAAACAACAATCACAAACAAAGGGGCAAGGGATTTAAATAATAATAATAATAATAATAATAATAATAATAATAGAAATCCCAGCAAGGGAATACAATTAAACAGCCAAGTCCCGGCAAGGGAACAATATCAATAAATCTCAACATCCCGGCAAGGGAGATAATCAACAAAGCAACAAGAATCCCGGCAAGGGAACAATTGAATAACTCTTTCTCTTTCTTTCACTTCTTACTTTATAACTCACTTTACCACTTGAGCCAATGCTCCAAAGGGTTCCATTTATCTCATATACTTTCACAATTCGTATTACCACTCGAGCCAATGCTTCTCGAAGTTCAAAGATCACAATTTCTTTCACATGCTTTTTACAACATATAGAAATCATCAATAAGGCATGAAAGATACACCAAGATCAGAATATCCGTAATATAAAGACTCACAGTCATGCTAGACACCAACGTATAGATACTCGTCACCATGCCTATACGTCGTACTCGACAATTAGCACGTAGCAAATAAGACTCAACTCCTAATCCCTCAGGCTAAGGTTAGACCAAACACTTACCTCGAAGTTTTGAACACCACTAAAGCTTCAATTATAGCTTTACCCCCTTGATTCCACCACCAATCCGCTCGAATCTAGTCACAAGTTACTTAATTACATCAAAAAGTGCTAAATAAATCAACCACAATGCATGAAAATGAGTTTTCCCAAAGTTTTACCCAAAAAGTCAAAATCACCCCCGGGCCCACGTGGTTGAAACCCGATTACCCATTCCCCTACGAATCCAAATGTATAATTTGTTTTGAAATCGGACCTCAAATTGAGATCCAAATCCCCAATTTTTTTTTTGGAAGACCTAGAATCTACCCAAAACACCCAATATCCCCCATGAAAATCTTTGATTTTAAGTTGAAACCATGTTAAAAGATGTTAATGATTGAAGAAAACTAGTTAAAAATGACTTACAATTGATTTGGAGAAGAAAGGTTGTTTGAAAAATTGACTCTTATGTTTTTGGGGTTTTGAAAAGTGAAAAATAGTTGAAAATCCCGTCTATTTATACCCATCTTAGACCCTTACCGCGGACTGCTTAAAAAGGACTGCAGCCACGGAGCTCCACCATGGACCGCATTAAACGAACTGCGGCCGCACAAGCCTCTCTGAAGACCTACAGTTCAGCACCTTGTGCGGACCGCACAAAGGCGACTGCGGCCGCACAGCCTCCACCGCGTCCCGCACAAAGGAGACCGTGGCCGTGCTGCCCCCTTCGCGGTCGCATGCGATTTCTCGCGGACCGCATTAAAGGGTTCAGAGGCCTGCAACTTCCTGAACCTGCAACATCTGACTTTCTAAGGCTAAGGCATCCCGGAACCTACTCGAACTCACCCGAGCCGTCGAAACTCTAACCCAAGTATACACACAACCTCAAAAACATCCTACGGACATATTCATGTAATTAATTTACCAAAATAATGTCACGAGCATCGAATTAAACCTCGAGATTAATGAAATTTCTCAAAACTCTTTTAAACATCACATTTCTTAATTAAGGTCCGGATTGCGCCAAACGACGTCCGTTTTTAACCAAATTTCACAAGAATGACTCAAGTCATATACAAGACCTGTACCGGGCGCCGGAACCAAAATACGGGCCCAATACCAACTCGTTCTAATCAAATTTCATTTCAATTTCCTTAGACATTTTTAGAAAAACAATTTCCTTTAAAAAATTCACTTCTCGGGCTAGGGACCTCGGATTTCGATTTCGGGCATACGCCCGAGTCCCATATTTTCATACGGACCCTCCGTGACCGTCAAATCGCGGGTTCGGATCCGTTTACCCAAAATATTGACCGAAGTTAAATTTATTCATTTTAACATCAAATTTAGCATTTTTCACAAAATTTCATATTTAAGCTTTCCGGCTACGCTCCCGGACTGCGCATGCAAATCGAGACGACTCTAAATGAGGTTTTCAAGGCCTCGAAAGCACATAATGGGTAAGAAAACAGGTGATGACCCTTTGGGTCGTCACATTCTCCACCTCTAAAATAACCATTCGTCCTCGAACAGATAGAAGAAGGAAGTACCTGAGTCGGGGAATAAATGAGGATAACGGCTCCGCATATCGGACTTAGACTCCCAGGTCGATGCCTCATGAGGCTGACCTCTCCACTGAACACAAACAAAAGGGAAACTCTTGGATCTCAACTGACGAACTTGCCGGTCTAGAATAGCTACCGGCTCCTCCTCATAGGACAAGTCCCTGTCCAACTGGATAGTGCTGAAATCTAACACCTGGGATGGATCGCCATGATACCTCCGAAGCATGGACACATGAAAATCTGGATGTACGACTAATAAGCTCGGCGGAAACGCAAGTCTATAAGCCACCTCTTCCACTCGATCAAGAATCTCAAACGGACCAATGAACCTAGGGCTAAGCTTGCCCTTCTTCCCAAATCTCATCACGCCCTTCATAGGCGATACTCAGAGCAATACCCGCTCACTAACCAAAAAAGCCACATCTCGAACCTTGCGATCTGCTTAGCTCTTTTGCCTGGATTGGGCTGTACGCAGTCTATCCTAAATGATCCTGACCTTGTCCAAGGCCTCTTGAACCAGATCCGTAACCAACAACCGAGCCTCTCCCGGTTCAAACCATCCAACCGGAGATCGACACCACCTACCATATAAAGCCTTAAAAGGATCCATCTGGATACTCGAGTGGTAATTGTTGTTGTAGGCAAATTCTGCTAAAGGCAAAAACTGATCCCACGAACCTCCAAAGTCAATAACACAAGCTCGGAGCATATCCTCTAATATCTGAATAGTCTGCTCGAACTGCCCGTCCATCTGAGGATGAAATGTTGTACTCAACTCAAGCTGGGTGCCCAACTCTCACTGAACTGCTCTCCAGAATTGCGAAGTAAACAGCATACCTCGGTCCAAAATGATAGATACCGACAAACCATGAAGGCGAACAATCTCCCGGATATAGATCTCAGCTAACCTCTCGGATGAATAGGAGACTGCCACAGGAATGAAATGTGCTAACTTGGTCAGCCTATCAACAATGACCCAAA